TTCAGTGATCGGATTGTCAGGGTGTTCGTTGTCATGGCATGAAATGCGGTAACCTCCCCCGGGTTCGGCCGAGGCTGGCTCGCCGGGGCGGCTGCGGTGCATACAATCGACCATCCTGGGTGGCGGTTGGGGCGTGACGGGCTTGGCGCCGCGCCGCCTGGGAGGGGCCCGTTCGGCCGATAGACCGTCCACTCTTTCCGAAGCCTCGAGCGTCCTCCTCCTCCTCCTCCTCCTCCTCCTCCTCCTCCTCGGCATTGTACTCCCCGTTCCCCTGATGTATCCGCTCCCTCTCCGTGTTTCTCCTCCTCCTCCTCCTCTTCCTTCCTTCTCCTCCTCCTCCTCCTCCTCCTCCTCCTGAGGTTGCTCCGCCGAGTCTGTCCTGCTCGTCCTCCCCCTCCCCATCCACCCGCCCGTGCCATGCAGGACGGAGGGGGAGTGGGGGAGAGGGAGGACGAGGAGGAGAGTGAGCATGGACAGGAGGATGAGGAGCGGGCGGAGGATGATGGAGGATGAGGAGCAGGGCGAGGGGTGGAGGAGAAGCGAGGATGACGAGGCAGAGGCTGGAGGAGGGAGGATACCGACGAGAGGGATCATGGAGAGAGGGGAGGCGCAGGGGGTAGAGCGGCCTCTGGGGGAGGGGGGGGAGGAGTGCCAAGAGAAAGGGCATGATGAGGGAAACGGGGAGGAAACGGGGGAGGCTGAAGAGGAAGACCGAAAAGGAGGAGGAGGAGGAGGTGGAGGAGGAAGGAGAAGAAGAAGAAGAGGGGGAGCAGGGAACACAACGAGCGCACTCTGGGCTCTGAGGGCACACTTTCGGGCAAGCTCGCTGCGAATGCCCCGCCTTCCGTCTCCTCCTCTCCGACGAGCACTCTCCTCCCTTCTTCCCCTTTCTTCCCCCTTCCCCCGCCCTTCCTCTCCCTTTCCTCTTCCCTCCCCCCCCTCCGCCCTCCCCTCCCCCTCCGAGAGCCTCCGCTCGTCCCCTCCCCCCCCCCCACGCTCACTCACTCGCAGGCCGTCGGGTCGGGGCGAGACTGCGGTGGGCAGGGCAGGGGCGGGGGCAACGACGCAGCGCGGCACGGTGCGCACGGGGCCGGCCGCAGCTGCAGGGGGGGGCGCGCATGCTCTTGCTCCTCCTCCTCCTCCTCCTCCTCCTCCTCCTTCTCCTCTCCTGCTCCTCCTCCTCCCTCCTCCTCCATCCTCCTCCTCCTCCTCCTCCTCCTCCTCTTCCTCCTCCTCCTCCTCCTCCTCCTCCTCCTCCTGCCACGCACGTTGTGAACTACAGTGGGGGCGCGCATCAAGAAAATACTTTTCGGCAGTGTATCCCGAGTTTCTTCGCTCCGCGCGCTGCGCGGCGACGTCCCGCGGCCGCTGAGGGAGCTGCTGCGTGCAGGAGTGCTCCAGGCTTCCCCTCCAGTGGTGCACTTTGCGCGCTGGTCTTCGGGGTTGGGCGCCTTGCGGCCGCGCTCGCAGTGTGCTCGGGCCGCCAAGGGGGTGCGAAGTGAGCCGGCGCTTCGCGGTCTGGGGCGGTTTCAGAGCGGGGCGCGCGTCCGTCATCCTGTTCCCGGCCCTGATTCCGGATCCGCCCTACTTTGGGGAAATTCGTAAGTAGGGCTTGGAATTTCCGCCTTCATTTTCAGGCCCCCCTGATGCCCACCATGTTCGCCCTACTTTTCTGTTGCTGTTTCCGCCCTACTTCTGTGGATTCCCGCCCTACCTTCTGTTGCGTGCAGAAAGTTCCGCCCTACTTCTTCGGCCTCTCATAGGTGGATTTCCGACGCAATTTGAAGCTGGAGGAAAAAGAGCCAAAGTAGGGCGGATCTGGAGTCAGGGGAGGGGGGGGGGTGCGGCGCGAGAGAGTGCGAAGCCACTTGCCCCAGCAGCCGCGGTCTTCCTGGGCGGCAGGGGCGACGAAGGCCAGGCTCGAAGGAGGGGCCCGGGCGGCACGGGCCCCCGCTGCTCCTCCTCCTCCTCTTCCTCCCCCCCCTCCTTCTCCTCCTCCTCCTCCTCCTCCTCCTCCTCCTCCTCCTTCCCCTCCTCCTCCTCCTCCTCCTCCTCCTCCTCCTCCTCGTCCCCTCGCCGCCGGCGGTCCGTGGGTGCCCACGGTGCCTCGGAGTTTTGCCGCTTCGCGATGGCGGAGCTGTCGGCGGTGATTCGGCGGTGTCCCGCCAGTTCGAGGTCGATGCCTTATATACCCCCTGCTCCTTTCCCTCCCTGTCTGCCCCCCTTCCTTGCGGAGCGGACGAGTTATTATCAAGGGTGTAAAAAGCGCCCCTACCCTGGTTTATGAGGCGCTGTGCGCTGAACCTCCTGTGGGCTGACAGGGTAAACCCTGCGTGTCGTGCGTGCCGCGCGGCGTCCTGGCGGCTCTCTGGCCTGTGGGAGCTTACAGGAGGTTTACTGACCACGCACTTGTAACACAGGGTAGGGGCGTTTTTTCACTCCTCATATTACGTACACTCCCTGCCCAGGTCTTCGCGTCGTTCGGCTGCCACCCGAAGGC